GAGCCGTACACATGCCGCAGTTTTTGCGTGGCTGTGTCTTTAGTTGTAAGCACAGTGACGATCTGCTCATCTGTCACACTGATCATGCAGTCAATAACTTTGTTGTTATTAGCATCTGGTTAGCTAGCTATGCTAACGAATATAAGAAGCTTTTTCTACAACCAGTGAGGTAAAGGCACATCTTTATATGATCATTATAGTCATAAAAAAATAAGAGAATAAAGTAAACAGTTATAAAATACTATATGACAGTAAAAAAAGTTATTAATAAACAAGAATACAGTTTGAAAGGAGAGTGATTTGTAAAATATCCATAAAGAAAAATAAATCTGCTTCCAGTTCTGTTTCATATGGATGTTGAGAGATGTATCCATAGATCTCTCAATGTTGCTCTCAAAGTGCAGCAGATTGATGCTTTGAACGTCAACATTTAAAAACAAATCTTCCCGGGGGAGCATGCCCCCCGCACCCTCCTAGAGAGGTTAGGTCCCCCACCACTCAAATCATGTTCACATGGATAGGAAACTAAATACATTGTGTCCACATCTTTCTGTTTTGGTGGTCATGTCACAACCATGCATGCATGGTAAGATATCTGGATTAAAAGGTTGCTTTTTCTTTGCACAGCATGAAAGAAAGGCGAAATGAATGGGCTGTGATTTTAGTATTTTTAAGCAGAGGTCAATAACTTGTACGGCCCTCGGAGGATATTGTAAACATTGAAATGGCCCTTGAGGAAAAAGGTTCCCCACCCCTGATCTAAACCCTCAGAGTCCTTTACCTCACTGAGCTGTAGTTATCAGCCTCTCAGTCTGACTGGAGAGGACTCTCCCTCCACATCATTGTAGAAACATCTTCTTCTTCCGTTAGAGCAGCTAGCACCAGATGCTAATAACAACAACGTGTACCGGTGCACGCTCCCTTTCTCCCTCGCTCGCTCCCACGCTCGCACTTTGGCTGTGAGCTGCGGGCGCCAGTTAAGCCAACATCCCCCATTTTCATCACTTGCAGCGCCCATCGTACAGGGCAAATGAAAAGTGTAACCGGGGTGAAAAGGGTGTTACATTTACTTAATTATGAATGTTGTTGCATCAAGGCGAAAATTAGGATGAGCGCCAACGGCCAAAACATGTTGTTTCCCTCCCAGAGCTGTCAGCGCAGCGCCTCCACAGATCTGGCGCCCTAGGCGAATATCTATAACGCCAGTGCGACGGGCCGGCCCTGGTCTCAGGTTACGCTGTAGGAAGTGTAGGTACAACGCTACATTTCCCGCCCCGCCGCAGTCACACAGTAGGCTACGGAGAGCGGCGAGAAACATTTCCTCAGGCATCGAAAAGCGGAACCGAAATTCACATTTATAAATGATGCCGTTGGAATCAAAATGTTGGAACCGGTTCCGAACCGGAACCGGTTCTCGGTACCCAACCCTACTTAGGAATGCCTTGCATGAACATTTGTCAGGCTTTGTGTTTCCTAGGGGCAGTACACTAATGAAGTTTATTGAACTATTTCTGTGTTTGTGATGATTCCTCTCTGTTTCATTCTTTCCTGTTGCGAGTGCTGGATTGCCACAACAATATGTTTCAACAATAAGGAGAGCTCTCTCCTGTCAGACTGAGAGGCTGAGATAACGTCAGCTTAGGTGAGGTAAAGGACTCGCTGAGCAATTAGATTGTAAACTTTAGTCTAAGTCAGGGGTCGGCAACCCCTGGCCCGCGGCACTGTAACCAGTGGATCCTGAACGAGACCGCCGCCAGAGCGCGTCTCCCCGTGCAGAAGGAAGCCATGCACGCAGCGCAGCCCCACTCTCTTTATCTCCAGGCGACTTTCTGCCGCTTTCCTCGTGGTGCTGAACGTTTCCCCACGGAGGAAAGCACTTCACTAACTGCAGTACCCACGAGGAGCCGTACACATGCTGCAGTTTTTGCGTGGCTGTGTCTTTAGTTGAAAGCCCAGGGGTGATCTGCTCATCTCTCATTGAAATAATATGCTACAAAGGGGCGGACTGGCCATCTGTGTGTTGAACTCTCCTGTCGGCTCCCAGACCGTAGTCGAGGAGGGCAGGAGCAACAAGCTTCAGGTTCAATAACCCACTTTAGCTTCAATGACTGGAGAGAGGCGAATACATCACAGACCTCTGTTTTTCTGCTTCCTCGTTACACACACACACACACACACACACCCACACACACACACACCACACACACACACACACACCACACACACACACACACACACACACACACACACACACACACACACACACACACACACACACACACACACACACACACACACACACACACACACACACACACACACAAACACACACACACACACAACACACACACACACAACACACACACACACACACCACACACACACACACACACACACACACCACACACACACACACACACACACACACACACCACACACACACACACACACACACACACACACACACACACACACACACACACACACACACACACACACACACACACACACACACACACACACACCCTGGTCTATGTAAACAAATATAATATAGTTGTTCAAAATAAGTTAAGAAATCATTCCAATGTCAGTAAAACATTAAAAAACACAGTTTGAAAGGGGGGGGGGGGTGATTAGTAAAATATGCATTAAAAAGCAAGAATGCAGACTAGGTAAGATAGGAGAGAGGAGTATATCAAGTATGTGCTATTGCTTGTGAGCATATTGGTTTTTTGTAATATTGAAATATATCCAGTTCTGTTTCATGAGTGTTGAGAGCTGTATCCATACATCTCATGTTGCTCTCAAAGTGCACCAGATTGATGCTTTCAAGACAAACATCTCCCAATAGATTTGTAGAAAGCAGGAAATGGAATTAAATCGAGAAAAATGTTTCATTGCGGAGGACCTCCTGTTTTGTGTCCCCCCCACTTCTCAAACCAAAGTTACACCCTTGCCTGTATGTGATCAGAGTATATCTGTATGTGATCAGAGTATATCTGTATGTGATCAGAGTATAGCTGTATGTGATCAGAGTATATCTGTATGTGATCAGAGTATATCTGTATGTGATCAGAGTATATCTGTAAGTAATCAGAGTATAGCTGTATGTGATCAGAGTATATCTGTATGTGATCAGAGTATAGCTGTATGTGATCAGAGTATAGCTGTATGTGATCAGAGTATAGCTGTATGTGATCAGAGTATATCTGTATGTGATCAGAGTATATCTGTATGTGATCAGAGTATATCTGTATGTGATCAGAGTATATCTGTATGTGATCAGAGTATATCTGTATGTGATCAGAGTATATCTGTATGTGATCAGAGTATAGCTGTATGTGATCAGAGTATATCTGTATGTGATCAGAGTATATCTGTATGTGATCAGAGTATATCTGTATGTGATCAGAGTATATCTGTATGTGATCAGAGTATATCAGTATGTGATCAGAGTATATCTGTATGTGATCAGAGTATATCTGTATGTGATCAGAGTATAGCTGTATGTGATCAGAGTATATCTGTATGTGATCAGAGTATATCTGTATGTGATCAGAGTATAGCTGTATGTGATCAGAGTATAGCTGTATGTGATCAGAGTATAGCTGTATGTGATCAGAGTATAGCTGTATGTGATCAGAGTATAGCTGTATGTGATCAGAGTATATCTGTATGTGATCAGAGTATATCTGTATGTGATCAGAGTATATCTGTATGTGATCAGAGTATATCTGTATGTGATCAGAGTATATCTGTATGTGATCAGAGTATATCTGTATGTGATCAGAGTATAGCTGTATGTGATCAGAGTATATCTGTATGTGATCAGAGTATAGCTGTATGTGATCAGAGTATAGCTGTATGTGATCAGAGTATATCTGTATGTATCAAGTAGATGTATGTGATCAGAGTATAGCTGTATGTGATCAGAGTATATCTGTATGTGATCAGAGTATATCTGTATGTGATCAGAGTATATCTGTATGTGATCAGAGTATATCAGTATGTGATCAGAGTATATCTGTATGTGATCAGAGTATATCTGTATGTGATCAGAGTATAGCTATATGTGATCAGAGTATATCTGTGTGATCAGAGTATAGCTGTATGTGATCAGAGTATATCTGTATGTGATCAGAGTATAGCTGTATGTGATCAGAGTATATCTGTATGTGATCAGAGTATATCTGTATGTGATCAGAGTATAGCTGTATGTGATCAGAGTATATCTGTATGTGATCAGAGTATATCTGTAAGTAATCAGAGTATAGCTATAAGTAATCAGAGTATAGCTGTATGTAATCAGAGTATATCTGTATGTGATCAGAGTATATCTGTATGTGATCAGAGTATATCTGTAAGTAATCAGAGTATAGCTGTAAGTAATCAGAGTATAGCTATAAGTAATCAGAGTATAGCTGTAAGTAATCAGAGTATAGCTGTAAGTAATCAGAGTATAGCTATAAGTAATCAGAGTATAGCTGTAAGTAATCAGAGTATAGCTGTAAGTAATCAGAGTATAGCTGTATGTAATCAGAGTATAGCTGTAAGTAATCAGAGTATAGCTATAAGTAATCAGAGTATATCTGTAAGTAATCAGAGTATAGCTGTAAGTAATCAGAGTATAGCTGTATGTAATCAGAGTATAGCTATAAGTAACCAGAGTATATCTGTAAGTAATCAGAGTATAGCTGTAAGTAATCAGAGTATAGCTGTATGTAATCAGAGTATATCTGTATGTGATCAGAGTATATCTGTATGTGATCAGAGTATATCTGTAAGTAATCAGAGTATATCTGTAAGTAATCAGAGTATAGCTGTAAGTAATCAGAGTATAGCTATAAGTAATCAGAGTATAGCTGTAAGTAATCAGAGTATATCTGTAAGTAATCAGAGTATAGCTGTAAGTAATCAGAGTATAGCTGAAAGTAATCAGAGTATCTCACATGACCACTAGTGAATCATATAGATATATATTTGTTATTGTTTATATTTACCTGCGGGACACGTCCATCAGGACCCCACTGAACACCTGCTCCCCCCTCCGGAAGGACACCACCAGCGCGTCATCGATCACATGATCCAGAGAGACCCGGACCTCAGAACCAGGACTCAGATCAGCTGGACTCAGATCAGCAGGACTCAGATCAGCTGGACTCAGACCAGCAACAATCAGATCAGCTGGACTCAGACCAGCGGAGGGGGATTCCTGCTTCACTGGGGCTCTCAGAGTGTAGTCCCGTTCCAAGTCCTGATCGCCGTCCCGGTCCTGATCGCGGTCTGCGGGCTCGGCTCGGTCCGTACCGGTCTCGTTAGTTGTCGGTTCTGCCGGTTCCGTTAGCGACAGACCGGCCTCCGTACCGGGAGGGGGGGCCGGGAAGGAGAGCAGGAAGACGGCCCGGGGCTCGGAGCCTCCCCCCTGAGGGTCCCCCGGTACCGAGCAGAGCCGGTCCTCCCGGTTTGCTCCGGGTCTCTCTCCCTCTCCCTCGCCTCTTCCCGCCTCCGGCCCGACACGCTGCCCCCCAGCCTCCATCCAGGGCTCAAGCTGCGGCCCGGGTGCCAGCAGCGGGGTCAGGCCCGGTTCTGCCGGTTCTCCCGTCAGGCCCCGTCCCGGTTCTCTCGGTAGATCCGGTCCCTGTTCTTCTTCTTCTCTTATTGCAGCTCCTGGCTCTGCAGCCACGGCCGCCATTTTATTCCTGTGCTGCCTAGCGGCGCCTGGTCCCGCCCCCCGCTCTCTGTCAGCTGCGAAGGCGCACTGCCGTTGGCTGGAAGGCCTGTCACTCAAGTTAAACGTTGTTCAGCGTCGTCTGTGATTGGATGGTTCTGTGAGAGTGTGATGGCGTCATCAGTGTGTTTGTCTTCACAAACAGAACATGTACTAATAATATACAGAATTGAATGTGTAGTACAGAATACAACATCAGTATTTAAAGTGTAGTACAGAATACAACATCAGTATTTAATGTGTAGTATAGAATATAACATCAGTATTTAATGTGTAGTACAGAATATAACATCAGTATTTAAAGTGTAGTACAGAATACAACATCAGTATTTAATGTGTAGTATAGAATATAACATCAGTATTTAAAGTGTAGTACAGAATACAACATCAGTATTTAATGTGTAGTATAGAATATAACATCAGTATTTAAAGTGTAGTACAGAATACAACATCAGTATTTAATGTGTAGTATAGAATATAACATCAGTATTTAAAGTGTAGTACAGAATATAACATCAGTATTTAATGTGTAGTACAGAATACAACATCAGTATTTAATGTGTAGTATAGAATATAACATCAGTATTTAAAGTGTAGTACAGAATATAACATCAGTATTTAAAGTGTAGTACAGAATACAACATCAGTATTTAATGTGTAGTATAGAATACAACATCAGTATTTAAAGTGTAGTACAGAATATAACATCAGTATTTAATGTGTAGTACAGAATACAACATCAGTATTTAATGTGTAGTACAGAATATAACATCAGTATTTAATGTGTAGTATAGAATATAACATCAGTATTTAATGTGTAGTACAGAATATAACATCAGTATTTAATGTGTAGTACAGAATACAACATCAGTATTTAATGTGTAGTACAGAATATAACATCAGTATTTAATGTGTAGTATAGAATATAACATCAGTATTTAATGTGTAGTATAGAATATAACATCAGTATTTAATGTGTAGTATAGAATATAACATCAGTATTTAATGTGTAGTACAGAATATAACATCAGTATTTAATGTGTAGTATAGAATATAACATCAGTATTGAATGTGTAGTACAGAATATAACATCAGTATTTAATGTGTAGTATAGAATATAACATCAGTATTGAATGTGTAGTACAGAATACAACATCAGTATTTAATGTGTAGTATAGAATATAACATCAGTATTTAATGTGTAGTATAGAATATAACATCAGTATTTAATGTGTAGTACAGAATATAACATCAGTATTTAATGTGTAGTATAGAATATAACATCAGTATTTAATGTGTAGTATAGAATATAACATCAGTATTTAATGTGTAGTATAGAATATAACATCAGTATTTAATGTGTAGTATAGAATATAACATCAGTATTTAATGTGTAGTATAGAATATAGCATCAGTATTTAATGTGTAGTACAGAATACAACATCAGTATTTAATGTGTAGTATAGAATATAACATCAGTATTTAATGTGTAGTATAGAATATAACATCAGTATTTAATGTGTAGTACAGAATATAACATCAGTATTTAATGTGTAGTACAGAATATAACATCAGTATTGAATGTGTAGTACAGAATATAACATCAGTATTTAATGTGTAGTATAGAATATAGCATCAGTATTTAATGTGTAGTACAGAATACAACATCAGTATTTAATGTGTAGTATAGAATATAACATCAGTATTTAATGTGTAGTACAGAATACAACATCAGTATTTAATGTGTAGTATAGAATATAACATCAGTATTTAATGTGTAGTATAGAATATAACATCAGTATTTAATGTGTAGTATAGAATACAACATCAGTATTTAATGTGTAGTATAGAATACAACATCAGTATTTAATGTGTAGTATAGAATATAACATCAGTATTTAATGTGTAGTACAGAATATAACATCAGTATTTAATGTGTAGTATAGAATATAACATCAGTATTTAAAGTGTAGTATAGAATACAACATCAGTATTTAATGTGTAGTATAGAATACAACATCAGTATTTAATGTGTAGTATAGAATATAACATCAGTATTTAATGTGTAGTACAGAATATAACATCAGTATTTAATGTGTAGTACAGAATATAACATCAGTATTTAATGTGTAGTATAGAATACAACATCAGTATTTAATGTGTAGTATAGAAATATAACATCAGTATTTAATGTGTAGTATAGAATATAACATCAGTATTTAATGTGTAGTATAGAATATAACATCAGTATTTAATGTGTAGTATAGAATATAACATCAGTATTTAATGTGTAGTATAGAATATAACATCAGTATTTAATGTGTAGTACAGAATATAACATCAGTATTTAATGTGTAGTATAGAATATAACATCAGTATTTAATGTGTAGTATAGAATATAACATCAGTATTTAATGTGTAGTATAGAATATAACATCAGTATTTAATGTGTAGTATAGAATATAACATCAGTATTTAATGTGTAGTACAGAATATAACATCAGTATTTAAT